ATCTTAATTTTTATTTTATTTTTTATTTTAAATTTTTTTCCAGATCACCAATTTGAACCGATCCGAAATGGCAATCCATTAATCCGACATGAACATGTGAGGTGAACAATTCACTTCATTGATCCAGGTTTCGAAACATTGGTTAGAAAAAAATAGTCTTGATGATGAATTGTTTGTTATCCGGCAGTACACCCATAACATATAAGACATTTTGAATAGCTGTTTTACTTTAGCGAAAGTAGTTTGTTGAAACTCACATGTTTCAAGTTAGAAATAACTAAAAAGAGCTAAATGCAGTGGAAAAACTTAATGATTGAATGATATTATATATGTAACACAAAATATATAAAACACCTGTAAACTAATATTATATTTTTTAAAAGTTGTTCTTACTTTATTGAAAGTATTTTGTTGCAGGAAAAGAACTTAACGCTTGACGATTTGCAATGCTACGCCTAAGGCTCAATTTCTACAAAGGGTAGGAGCTCTTTCCCCACTTACTCACCCAAAAAACCAAAAACAAACAAACAGTTTGTTGAAAATATGATGTTCTTGGTTAGAAATAACTAAAAAGTTCTAAATATCGTGGGACAAATTAAATAATTGCATAATTTTATATATAATATACAAAACAACTAAAATAATAATATTATGCAGAATATATTAATTTCATATAAGATTTATTACTACTTATAAGATTAACTGTCATCCAAACCTGCCCAATAAGGTGCTTTTGAAAATTAATATTATATTTCAGAATATTAAACATACGCTTAGTTTCATAAATATGAAAGTATTAGGAACGGACTCAAGGTATTGGTGGGCAGGGTAGTTGGTACCACAACATGACATTTTGCATTCTATTCCCACCACAGGGAGGGGACTCGTTACTTACTAATCTACTGAGTCGTCGTGAAATGCAGGAAGGGTTGGGCTTAAGTGACTAGTATCATAAATTTTCTAGTATTTCCTACATTGTTTGGCATGGTGTTTAGGAACTCACCTCGACCAAAGTACTCGAGCGAGGCGAGTAATTTGACCGAGTCCACAGGACTCTACTGAGTGATGCACACCCATCTAGAATGTAAAATAATAATAAAAAAAGAAAAAATTCTAAAAAATAATGTAAATAAAAAAAGTATTAGAGTTAATAGAAATAATTAGAGGACTAAAAAGGATGAAAAAAACTAAAACTGTGACTATTGGAAGTTTTGATTTATACCTTTAGTATTTCAGCAAAATTTGAAAAATGAAAAACATGAAAGATCCCACATCATCCTAAAAACTATCAAAATCATCTAAGAAATCGTTTCTAACATGTCATTTCCTTTTTATCAGAGTTTTTTCCACATCATCATAAAAACTATCAAAATCATCTAAAAATCATTTATAAGAAATAATTTCTTTTCTATTAGATTTTTTTAAACATATTTTTAATCTTTTTAGGGGGTTTTTGAGAGGGACGAGTCGGGCACTGGACTCTTTCCCAACTCACTTGGCCAATAGGGCGAGGCTGAGTGTCCCCAATTCATGTTTTTTCAAATTACTTTGCAGGAGTGAAAGCTTGATGTGGAAGGATGGGTGGGATAATCTCAAACAACTATTGGAAACTGAACTGTTTTGTTTGCATTTGTACACAATGCCTTCTGATCCTTTGGCCAAAGAAGGAACACGTCATAGCGATAGCGATAGCTCTCTGTGCGTCTTATTTTATATATTCTTCCTTTTTCTTTCGCTCTCTTCTTGGAAGCTTCCTCCCCT